GCACGCTAGGCGAGCGCGCTAGCGCTTGAGCCACATCCCCAGCCCCGAGGAGTAGGAGTTTTGGATGTTTTAATGAGGCAGAGATTGAGGATTACAGAGATTACTGGAGTTTCAGAGAGGCTGTGAGTTGATAAAACTCTGGTGCGGAACCTTTTAAAATCCAAAAATGTAAAAATGTCGAAGATGTGAACTACAKAACTGTTCAGAAGGGGACTGCTTTTCGGACCAAGCATCAGGTACTCGCTTGTAACGTCACATGTTCTAGTTTTCTGGGGAGCAACGTTCTAAACGAATCACTCGCGTTTGCAGTTTAAAAACTCAAACTCCCTACCATCTTCGCACGCAGCGCGCACGGCACCACGGTCCTTGTAGTCTAGGACAGACTCTAAGTCCCATGGTGCCTTGCGGCGGGTCGTCGCGCCTGCGCGTTGCGGGCGGCGGGCAGCGAAGAGTGCGAGGCTCTTTTGTTCGGCTGAGGGGAGGGCTGTTGGCTGGGGCCTGCTGTATACTGCTACAGCTAGGGGCTCGACTGTGGCCACCCCGCTTGTTGCTTTCCTGGGCGCCACTCCCCCGGCTGGCCCGACGCGACGCGCCAGTAGCGCGACACCGATTCCTCCTGCACTCTTGGGCGCTGCTCTGAGGTAAAGGGCCCTCCGGAGGAGGGGGGAGGGGGCGCGGCAGTGGCGGAGCCCTGTATGTGGGGCCGCCTTCGCGCTGCGAAGTGTAGGARCTCGGAGCGCGCCGGAACCCAGTGCCCTGTGGTCCTTCCCGCGCRCGGGGCTCTCCGCCTGGCGCTGAGGGGTCTGGTGCCAAGTGCGTGATGGATGGAGACGGTGGGGTGGTGAATCCTGAGCAAGAGTTGAAGCGGTCCCGGGTGGGCCGAGCATTGGGGCTTGTGGGGGGGCGGTCGCTCTTTGGGGTCCGGGTAGACCGAGACAATGCTTCTTGAGTTGGGTGGGCGACCCCGGGGTTGGGCTAGAGTGGAAACACTTCGGGAAACTGGGAAGGAGACAGGCTTGATGCTTTGGAGTGCGTGGCTGGGGCTTCCTGACCGACGTTTAGAAATGTAACCTGAGGGTATCGGATCGGGTGGAGACTGCCCGAGGAATTTTGTTTGCTGGGCTACTAAGAAGTAACTTCGAGTAAATTGGGCGAGGGGGCTGGGCAGCCCAAGATGTACTAGTGGGGGAGGGGATCTCTGAGGGCGAGGGTCGGATATTTGTCCTCTCTAGTGGGAGGGAAGCCCTTAGGTAAGTAAGCCAGTAAGGTGTGGAAGAAAAAGGGAGAAAGTGATCCGCCCTTGCTTTTTTTTTTTTTTTTTTTTCTTATGGGTTCTTACAGTGGGGAGGCTGTAAGAATAGTCTGTGGAGAAACGATGGAACCCACTTTCTTTACTTTCCCAGTTTTTTCTTTGTTTTGGTACCGGGGATTGAACTCAGGGGCACTGAGCCACATCCCCAGCCCTATTTTGTATTAGAATTGCTTAGCACCTCGCTACCGCTGAGGCTGGCTTTAAACTTGAGATCCTCCTGCCTCGGCCTCCCGACTCCTGGAACTAAAGCTGTGTGCCACCGCCCCAGCTCCCAGATTTTTTTTTTCTTTTTAAACAACCTTTACTCCATGACTCCTTTGGGGTTTTAAAAATAAAAAGTCCTGGGCTGGGGATGTGGCTCAAGCGGTAGCGCGCTCGCCTGGCGTGCTTGCGGCCCAGGTTCGATCCTCAGCACCACGTACAAACAAAGATGTTGTGTCCGCTGAAAACTAAAAAATAAATATTAAAAATTCTCCCTCTGTCTCTCTCTCTTAAAAAAAAAAAAGTCCAAGGTGCAGCTCTTGAGTTAATTCACAATTAGTTCCATACATTTTTAGCTGGAATTGATACTGGTCTCACAAAGAGTAGTGAAATTATAAAATGCATAGATGAATTAATAGTTAAGGAACACAGGGAGACTGTGAATTTGGTAGGCAAAAAGGGGAATGTAAGTTTGTCAGTTTTACACAGGGGCACTTAACCACTGAGTTATATCCCTATCCCTGTTTTTTTTTTTTTTTTTTTTTTTTGTGTGTGTGTGTGTGTGTGTGTGGTGCTTGTGCATTCGAGGCAAACACTCTACCAACTGAGCTATATCCCATGCCCTGTCTGTATTTTGAGACAGGGTCTCCCTGAGTTGCTTAGGGCCTCACTAAATTACTAAGGCTGCCTTTGAACTTGCCATCCTCCTGCCTCAGCCTTCTGAGCCACTGGGATTACAGGCACACCACCACATTCACTGTTTGTTTGTTTTCTTTCTTTTTTTTTTTTAAGTCAACCTGATTGTTAGAAATTTTTTGAATATGGAGGGAGGAGCATTATTTTACCTGTTTTCCAGAGCTTCACATGAAGATTTTTTACAGATCAGTGTTCGGTGTTGTATTTAAACATGTATTGGTTTAACTCAKTTGGTGGAATTTACCCTAAAAAATGAACCTCTACACCTCTCTCTTCCCAGCCGAAAGACATCCTCAAGTGCGTAGGGCACATGCATAAACCCAGCAAGTGGGAATCTAAGGCAGAAGGATCACAAGTTCAAAGCCAGCCTTAGTAACTTAGTGAGACCCTGTCTCAAAAAAAACATGGGCTAGAGATGTGACTCAGTGGTTAAGCATCCCTGGGTTCAATCCCTGGTACTTAAAAAATATCCTCGAGTATGTTAAAGAATCATGTCAGCAGTTTGGAATAATTCTAAAAGGTAAAGGGTTTTGAAATAGATATGTGAATACAGTGGAGAAATTAGTTGCTTTGTTCCTCCCTAGGTGCCTTCTAGACATTTATATGGAAAATGATATAATTGAAAAACACCTGTATTTACAAGTTTCACCTTAACAAAGCTTCAGGGCAGCAGAAGATCTTAAGTCATTTCAGGTTTTCCCTGGGGTGACATTTTTCTTCCTAGCACTAGTAGCCTAAATTGGTTTTCATCAAACATAAATAATGTGTAGTCTAGTGTTTCTAGCAAACAACCCCGCGCCCCCTCCCCCCCATACTGGGGTTTGAACCCAAGAGCTTTTTATCCTGAGCTGCATCCCCAATCTTTTTTATTTTGTAACAGGGTCTCACTAAGTTGCTTAGGTCTTGCTAAATTACTGAGGCTGGCATCAAACTTGTGATCCTCCTGCCTCAACCTCTCAAGTCACTGGRATTACAGGCATGTGCCCATCCCTAGCAGTCTGGCTTTTAATGTTTTTGCCCTGGTATTAAATACAAAGAAGATATGCAAACTGCAATTGACCATTTTAATTTAGATCCCAAGTTCTGGGCTTCTAATAGTAAGCTGTATAGCTTGAATATTTTGTTTTAAAAGTGTCTTGAGGGGCTGGGGATGTGGCTCAAGCAGTAGCGCGCTCGCCTGGCATGCGTGCGGCCCGGGTTCGATCCTCAGCACCACATACAAACAAAGATGTTGTATCCGCCAAATACTAAAAAATAAATATTAAAATTCTCTCTCCCTCTCTCTCACTGTCTCTCACTCTCTTTAAAAAAAAAAAAGTGTCTTGAGCTGGAGATGTTAACTCAGTGGTCAATCCCTTGCCTAGTGTTTACAAGGCTCTGAGTTTCATTCCACATCACTCCAAAAAAAMCAAAAAGTTATCTTAAAATCTTTTTGTAGTCCTTCCTGGCTCTCATGCATGYTAGCCATGCTCTCTAGCATTTAACTCTACCTACAGCCCAAATGGTTTCTCAATTTTGGAAAGTCTGTTGGGTTTTTTTTTTCCCCCCATCTTCTCCCTTGATGGTGGTGTTTGGAATTGAATTCAGAGCCTGTGTCCTCTACCACTGAGCTACACCCCCAGTTTCTTTGAAAAATATTTATCATTCTTTACATAAAGTGAATAGTAAGGATTTCCCAAGAGCAGCCTCTATTGAAAAATTGAATTGCCTTTCCAAAGTTAAGTGGAGAAATTAGTCATATATGGACAGAATTCAGATCCTGTCGTTGTTTGAATTGCCTAACACTTTAAATCTTTCTGRTTTTTAGTGTTTGATTTTACCACCAGAAGAGGGCAACCTAATACGTCTGTGAAGTAGTGCCTTTCTCTCTAATAACACCGGGAGGGCCTAATAGAACTTTTATTTTATTTATTTATTTAGCGGTGCTGACATTGAACCTTTACCGCAGAGTTATGTCCTCAGCTCTTTTTATATTTTTTTTTAAGAGAGAGAGAGAGATAATTTTTTAATATTTATTTTTTTAGTTTTCGGTGGACACAACATCTTTGTTTGTATGTGGTGCTGAGGATCGAACCCGGGCTGCATGCATGCCAGGCGAGTGYGCTACGGCTTGAGCCACATCCCCAGCCCTATATTTTTATTTTGAGACAGGATTTATGCTCAGGCTGGCCTTGAACTAGCTATCCTACCTTAGCCTCCTGTGTTACTGTTTGTTGTTGTATTTTTGTGGTGCAGGCTAGGCAAGTGTTTTACCACTGATCTACACCACAGCCCTAATTCCCCCCCTTTTTGTGAGGGATTGTGAACTATTAAAACAAAAGGCCTACAGATTCATTTCTTCTTAGACATACCCACAGTATGGCCATGGTACCCAGTGGTCTTGGTGTGTTGACCTTGGATACAAAAGCCCCAGAAGTGGTGCAGTCCCTTACAGTCCTAATCTTCAGTTACTTCAGGTCATCATGGAGCTTGTTATCAAGACCATTGGCCAGAGCCTGACTGAAAGTTCCATCTTTTATGGCCTTTTGTCTGTTCAAGAACTAGTCTGGGATCTTGTACTATTTGGTAATTTTACTTTTAAGTGACAAATAATTGTATATATTTATGGGATACAGTGTGTGTGCGTGTTTTGTTTTTGTGGTTTTGCTTTTGAAGTACTATAGACTAAACCCAGGGGAAGACGGAACATTTAACCTGGGTCTTGAAGAAAGGGTAGAATTTTGACTGTTGGTCCTGAATAGAGGTATACTTTGTATATGTGTGTGTGATTGTGTATGTTAGAATGTGAGTTAATGGGAATAGAACCCATGCACGCTGCCTACTTAACTGCATTCCTAGCTGTCACTACCCTGCTTTGGTTTTAGTTTTGGGTTTTGGTGGGCTTTTTGTTGTTGTTCTGGGGTGGGGTTGGGGTTGTTAACAGGGTCTCACTATGTTTCCCAGACTGGCCTTCTGTAATCCTTCTGCCTCCATCTCCTGAGGATCTGGAATTACAGGCATGTATCACTGCACCTGGGTAAGGGCACACCACTTTTTTTTTTTTAAAGAGAGGGAATTTTAAAATATTTATTTATTTATTTTAGTTTTTAGGGGACACAATATCTTTATTTAATTTTTATGTGGTGCTGAGGATCGAACCCAGCACCCTGAGCCTGTCAGGCGAGTGCGCTACCGCTTGATCCACATCCCCAGCCCGGAGCGCACCACTTCTTAATAGGCAGTACAAAGCCATGCATGGACAAAACATGCAGTATGTGTTCAGGTTATGATAAGTAGTCTTCTGTTTTGAMAGGAGTTAAATCTTGTGAAGAAAGTGTAGTTAATCTGGAACAGCTGGACCCAAAGGKTATTGGATGTTACCTGAGGAGTTGGACCTTTGTTTTAAGGGGACATCTCACAGAAAGATTTTAGCCTACCCCCTTCCCATGAAGC